AACAAAAAACAAAAACAAAAAAACATACACATGTTTTTTATATTTAAATTTTATGTTGAAACAAAATTTGGATTAGATTGAGCGTGTAAACAAGAACCGAGTTGACCTAATTGTTGACGAGCGATCGCCAACATTGCTTAATTATGAAATTAAGGGTGGATAAGTAGTGATCAGAGAGGTGAATGATGTGTATTATGTGAGAAGCGATACGGTGGGACATATGATATGTGATGACAAGGAAATAGAATCAACGAGGAGAAAAGATCTTCGAAAGAATAACTAGCAAATTGTTTGTTTGCGACGAGGATAAAGGATCTTCGAAAGAATAACTAGCAAATTGTTTGTTTGCGACGAGGATAAAGGATCTTCGAAAGAATAACTAGCAAATTGTTTGTTTGTGTACAATAATTGTTGTAGTTGAAGAGCAATTTTTGTGGTCTTGAGCTTTGTTTGCTCACTTGGACTGAGATTAATATGTGGGTCATGTTGTTCTATGTGATGGAAATTTTACTGGTACAACAAGCCGATTAGCCGCTTTCTTCCTCTCCAAAATTGCAGTTGAGAAGTCCTTCTTCCCACGTTTCTTGTTCAGAGAAAGCAAATGATTCAGATTGCCGGAGCCGATCACTTTGACCAAATAACATAGACAACAAAAGAGATAAAGCGAGAAAAGAAAAAAGAGCAAAAAAACAATTGTGATCCATTGACGTGAAATGACTGAGATATGAGAAGAGAAAACTTATGAATCAGCCGACTCTACTGGATGACTCATATCGCCCAAGATTTGAGTGTCGGAGGTTCGAGAATTTAGAGGACAAAAGTAGATCCAATGATGAAGATGAAAGAGCAATGACGGTCCTCACCAGGGGGTACGTTTTGGTTTGAGCTTGGATTTTCCAATACCACACCGACAATTTGACCGGAACACCCCGCTAATCCCGAAATACCATCCACCACGCAAGCATAAAAGTCCATTCGCAGGTACGACAAAGCAGATTTTCGTGGAGCGAAATCCTTAAATGCGGCGTGGTCTCTTGGTCAAAATTTTGGTAGTAAAAACTGCAAAAAAATTGAATATTTTTTTTGATGAACTTTTTAGTAATTGCATAACATGCCAAATGTCAGCCTATTAAGGCCACATATTTTTCTATATATGTATAAGAGAGAGATATATAGGTAAAGAATTAATGATAATTTTTTTTTTTTCCTTTTGGCATATAATTTTCATCATTTTTAGTAAGTTTGAATTTATTTTCAATTTGTTTCAACATCCTTAATTCTGTAACTAGTACAGAGCCCGTGCGATGCACGGGGTACACAATTTTAAGGTCATTTATCCAGCCTTATAGTTATATAAATAAATAAAGAAAAATATACGGAATATATACTACGTGACCTGTGCGAGACATGGTATATATTTATTTGAGGATTATTATACTATAAGATGCAATATTCAATAAAAGTTCTACAATACACGAAAATAAATATAAATAATATAAATATCTAAATACATACACGATATGTGGAATAAATAAACCAAATTGCAAATCTGAAATATAATTAAAAAAAAACAAAATATATTTCACTAAACATGTACAAAAATGTCTAAATATATACACGAAAATAAAAAATAAAACATAAAATATACGTTTCAAATTTCGAAATTAAAACAAAAATTCAAATAATTTGGCTTGCAGTTTTATCATGCATAACCAACTCGAGATATGATTTGTATGTGCTGCCTCAGTCTTAGAAAAACATTCTCACAATTCTAACTTTGAGCATAGGTCTATTAGACCTATTGACTTGTTTGATTAACCCAAATCCTTGATTCATTGTTTTGAATAAAAGACTGATTGGGGATATTTTTTGTTCGCAGGAGGTTGATAGTGTGGAAGATGATGGCTCGATATTTTGAGATTTGTAATTTATAATGGGTAGAGTAGATATATATTGTTGTTAATATTTTTATTAGAAAATCTGAATTTGAATATACAGAAATCGGTTTGAACAAAACTAGAACTGATTTCTATACAATTAGATAATAAATAAAACCTTTTTAATTTTAATAAAGATTTTACCTACTTTTTTTACTTATCGGATGTTATGGGATTTTTTTGTTAAACCGATTTTATGAGATATATACATATACAATTAGAGAATTGAACAAAATCATAATAGATTTTCATACAATTAGATAATAAGAAGGAATTAGATAAGAAAAAGAAGAAATTAAATAAGGAATTTTGAATGTGCTTTTTTTTAGTATAGATAGACGTTACGTACAAATTTTGACTTTTTTTGACAAAATCGATATTAATATGGAATAAGACAAATAAATAAAACCTTTTTTATTTTAGTTAAGATTTTATGTCTTTTTTTTTTACTTATCAGATGTTATGAGATCTTTTTTCTTAAACTGATTTTATGGGATATAAGACAAATAAATAAAATAATTAAATAAAATTCTGGATAGAAATAACAATGCATTAATTACCTTGATTTTTTAACCTACTAAATTTGGTAAATAGGATACCTTATTATATAAGTATAGATTCCACTAACACGTCATACTAAAATTTATTTGATTTTAGAATACATATTTATTCATTGATATAAAAAAAATAAAAATTTTAGTAATTATTGTTCACCATATAATACTCAATTATTATTTTATTATAAAATTTACAGTCATATAATGTAATTATTATTATTTATAAAAGTTATAGAAGTAGTCTTCTTTATGTAATGAAATTCAAAATAAAATTTTGAGTAAAAATGTTTACAAAATACACACACATGTTTTTTAGAATTCAATTTTCTTATAATAATTCTTTTTTTTTAAAAAAAAAATGATTTAGCAATTGCCAAAAAGTAAATCCCTTACATAATCAAGAGATTTTTTCTAATTTTTATCCTAAGGCTTTATAGTTTATTTAACATACTATGCAATAGAAAAATATTTTACAATAAGTTCATTTTTGAAACATAACAAAAAAAAAAAGTGATAAAAACACTATCATAGTTGACAATAATATACAAATAAATAACATGTTGAAATTTTAAAGAATAACTAATATAATTTTATTATCTAACTATCAATAAAATTATTTAATGATGTGATCATTATCTTTTAAATAATAAATAATATTAATTTTTTAAAAAAATATTAGTGTTAAATAATTAAATAAAGGTTAAAAAATATTACTCGACAAATATTAATTATAATGGATATGAGTAAAATCATGCATAAATTATTTAAGGAAAAAATCTTTAAGATCATATTTGGATAGTAAATGTAAATATGCAAGTATTTAATGCATATAGTAAAAAAAATCCAAATAAAGTATGCATGAAATGTGTGTTGACTTTTCTTGCTACTGTTTTTAGTAAATAGGTTGACTTTTAATATATATATAGATAAGTATCATAATATTCAATAAAAGTTGCATGTTTCAAAAAAGATTTAATTGTGCTTTTGTTATTACAGTAAATAAAAAGCAATATTCTATTTTGGTGTAACCGTTAAATATTACTACTACACATCTCTTCTTTTCGTAGTAAACTAATTGGAAATTTTGGACTTTAATTTATACCTGAATAAACATTAGATGAAATAATCCATATTGTACATGTACTTTATTATATAATTGTATTATTGATATAATTTATTCGATAATTCTTTTAAAAAGATTAATTTATATGGTATATAAGATTTACACTGTTGTGGTTTTGTTAATATAGTACTCAAAGTATATAAAAAAATTATATTATCCATTTTTTTCATACAACATTTGTCATTAATATATGACAAATTCCACAATTATACTTTTTTTTTAAAAAAAAAAAATTAAAATCTAACTAAGCTAAGATGTATAATTATTAAATAACTTAATTAGTTAATGTAACAATTCAATATTATTGTGATACATATTATTAAATAACTTTTTATATACAAAGTTTATGCTATTTATGTGTGCAATATGTGAATGTGCAGATGATGGATTACTAGTTTTAATTAAGAAAATACTTATTATAATCTGGAAAGAGTAATTGTTTATCTTTAATGATAATTAGAGTTGTTAAATGACAAGTGTACCTGATGAACTCAGTTGTAAATGTTTGAACTTGACTTGACTTGTTTGATAAACGAGCCGAACTTGTTAAGTCTGTTAGTCTAATTAAGATATGTATTTTTATAACAAGTGTTGATTGAGCTTGTTTATCAGTGAACAACTTTGAACTTATTTATTTAAAATATTAGAATTTACTTTTTTACATG